TGCCCAGAAAGCGCGCTTCAGGCAGCCGTGCGCCGGGGGGGGCGCCTCCCTTCCCCAGTGAGCGCGACTCTTCCAGAGCATTTCCCTGCCCGGTGCACAGGGCTCGGCCTGTCTGCCCAAGCCCCCAAGAGTGGGTGGAGGGAAGCCGGTGGCTTGGACCCTCCAGGGCTAACGGGCTGGGGTTAGGCCATCCCCCCAACCCCCCTGGAGCCCCTTTGGAGGTAGCTGCCCAGCAGAGCGGGGGGGGAGAGCCACAGCACAGAAGGGCTTCTCGGAGGGGCAGGAGAGCCCACCTGGGCTTGGCCACCCGTGTAGGGCAGCTGCCCTGAGGGCTGGTTCTGATGGCCTCTGCTTCTGGCTTCTGATGGCCTTGTTCTGCCCCCCAGTCTCCCCAGGAAACAGAGACAGGGGCATCCCCTCCTCCCCACTGCTCCCCTGAGATGCTGCCCTCCTCCCAATCCTAATGAAGTATTACAAAAGCAAACCAGTCAATTTTATCATTTCCTCTAGTCTCAAATTACCCCCGGCGTGATTCTGCCACATGCACCTTCCTGGCAGCGCCCCACCAGGAAAACCGGACCACCCTGCTGGCAACCCAAAGAAGCAGCCATTGTCCAGAAGACCAACCATGAAACAAGGCCTTGGGAAACCAGAGGTGGAGCCCAAGCAGCTTCACAGCTGGTGAACGATGAAACAGGTCACAACATTGTAACACAAACCACACGGCTTACACTTGCATCTAACATTGTGAACTGTGTACTGGGGTTGGGGTTTGTGTTGTGACATTGCAAGGCACGTTTTGCCATTTTTCAGCATCATAACAGATCTGGGGATGCCCCATGGAATGTAAGGCTGATGCCTGACGTCACATGAAGATTCAACATTCAGGTTCAGCTGTCGAGCTGTCGAGCTGTTTGAAACCTGAAAAACTGGTGTAAGTTGTGTTCCTTGAGCAACTGACCTGCCCAGCTCAACACAAGCAGAACAGATTGGTGGGAGGACTCAAAGGATGTGCTGCAGCACCAGAGGCAAACGCGTTCCACGCTCTGTCAGATAGCCCTTCTCCATCAGCGATGGAGAATCCAAACTCTTCCCCCAAAGCAATGACTTATCAGTCCTACACAAGGAGGGGCTGTAAAAAAAGTCACCATGGTGGCTGTGACTGCACGATCAAAACCCCACCCTTTTGCACTGCACATGCGCCAATGTAAAAAAGGGGTAGGGCTTCAATTGCACAGCTGTGGCTGCGATCTGTACTTTTTTTAACCCTTCTATGGATGCCCCTGATGCTACAAGACAGACTTCACTACTTGTTAAGAATGGCAAATTAAGCAAACCATTTACGAGGTGAAGACAGGTTGATATTTCAAGGAGCAATCCGTGGCACTCCCCTGGAAGTGGACTAATTACTAAATCCTAACTTAGCTGCAGTGATGATCACCCATGACTTTCCTGACTGTGAGGGCCATTAAGGAGTGGCACAGCCTGCCTCAAGAGTCACGGACCTTTTCAAGAAAAGACAGGACGGCCATTCGTCTGAGATCATATGAGGATTCCTGCACTGGGCAGTGGGTTGGACTAAAACATCTCCAAGGTCTCCCCCAACCCTAGATTCCATGATTCTATGAACTGAATACTCTGGATTATTTAATCAATGCATATCTGGATGCCTTCATATTTAAAAACAAATACCCATTTGCATTAGTCCCTTCCGGAATAAGCAATGTAATGCAACAACATCCAGAAAATACTAAGCCAAAGAAGTTAAAGGCACGAGATAAGAGACAGAAAAGGAACCTCACTCACTCCAGTTACACCAACACGACTCGCTAACCCTCTCTGTATCTTTCTGTCCTTACAAAGCATCCTTCCTTCCACCACTCTGTACGTGACTTCTCACACTATTTTCTTCTTTGGGGGGAATCTCATTAACTCCACCCAATTATATGTTTATTTAATATTTATATTATACAATTTAGAGGCCGCCCAACTTCAAATGATTCTGGGCAGCTTAAAAAAAGTAGGAATAATAAAGAGGTAGACCTTGAGTGTCCAGAAGACAAACAGTCTATGACAAGTAAAACATCGCACAAGGGCCACCCTACCCCAACACCTGGGAGAGCAGCCTGGTTTTCAAGGACTTTTTGAACGTCATCAGGGTGGGAGCAAACGGACCTCGAGGGACAGGGGATGGCGTTCCAGAGGGCAAGTGTCGCAATGGGGATGGTGTGCCTCCTGCATTCTCCTAGACGGCATTGTTTGACTGAAAGACCCAAAGCACGCCCACTCTGTCTGACCTCACCAGAAAGCATGGGAGATGGGCAGTCCCTCAAATAACCTGGCCATATGTTGTGTTTACAGGGGGCAACCAGCACCTTGAATTGCACCCAAAACTCAACTAGCAGCAAGTGCAGCTGGTGTAGCGGTATCCCATGGGCATACCTGTCACTGCCAGTGCTGCCACATTCAGGACTAGACGTAGCTTCTGAATGGTCTTTGAGGGCAATCCCATGTATAGTGCATTGCAGGAATCCTTTCATGAGGTGGTTCAGGTGTGAGTGACTGAAGGGCACACCGGCAGCAGCTGTGAGTCCAAGACAACCTGCAGATTGCATACTTGAAT